TGCGCTACCAGGGCTCCTATTTCCTAAACTCATTCTGCTCAAATCTTTTCTCTGCACATTTCTAAGTATGCCCCCGGCCCCCAGGCCAAGGCTCTGCACTTCCGCATGAGCTTGTCACGTCCTCACACACTCCAGTCGCTCTACATGGATGTGGGATGTGGGATGTGGGATGTGTCCACTCAGAACAGAAGAGCATCACTCTAAAGTTGCTAGATTTGAACCTGCACTTTCAATAGCCTTTCGGACTGTTTTATCTTTACACAGCCTATTCTCAGGGCTCACTCACAATTCCAGCTGGTGTATGGGGCCGGAAGATCCATTTCCTTCATCTCTTTGCTGTGTTGCAGTTGGCATACTACAGACTGCTTAAAGCACACACTTCACACACTTGAATGGCCTGTCACAGATGTTTACACCTGCAGATCCATCACTACCACCCAGAGAATGAACACACCCATCACCACCACGTGTCCCAGTGTCCCTCTATAACCCGCCCTCCTGCTACTCCCCCAGACCAAAGCCACCGCCTCTCTCGGCTTTCTGCCACCGCAAATTAGCTGCATTTTATAGTCTTACATGCTGTAGGATCAGCACCGGACTGCTAAATTAAGGGTTGGTGGTTCAAACCCACCAGCTGCTCCTTGGAAACCCTAAACAGGGTGGCTATGAGTCGGAACTGACTCGACAGCACTTAACAACAACACAGAAATATAATCATACATTAAAGTCTGGCTTCCTTCAGCCAGTCAGAACAACAGTTATTCTGTGATCCATTCATGTGGTTGTGCACACCAATAGTTCATTCTTTTCTTACTGCTGAGTACTATTTTATTTTATGGATGAACCACAGTTTATCCACACACCAGGATCGTTTCCTGTTTTGGGATATCACAAATAAAGTCACTATGAAAATGTATGCACACCTCTCCATGGACCCGTATTTCTTGTTTTCTTGGGTGGACTCAATGGTAGATGTTCAGTTTCACTTTTAAAGAAACTGCCAAACTCTATTCCAAAGTGCTGTAGAGTCTTCTATTGTAATCAGTTGGTATAGTCAGTATTGTCCATTTCAGCCATTCGAGCAGATGTGCAATGGTACCCACCCCACTGTGGTTTTACACTGCACTTCCCTAACAACTAGTGGTTTGCATTTTGCTAAGTGCTGGTTCCCCCATGTACATATTTAGTAAAGCATCTATCAAAATCTCTTCAAAAAAAAAAAAATTTGGATTTTTTTTTTATTGTTGGATTTTGAAAGTTGTTTTTAAGATATATTTTGGATGCAGCCTTTGGTCAGATAGATACTTTGCAAAGATTTTTCTCTCAACTTGTAGCTTGTCTTTTCATTCTCTTAACTATCTTTTGAAGATTTGTTGTTGTTGTTAAGTGCTGTCAAGTCGATTCCGACCCATAGCGACCCTGTAGAGGGTTTCTGAGGAGCAGCTGGTGAGTCTGAACTGCCAACCTTGCAGTTCAAACGGTTTTGCAGTCTGGCACATTAACCCACAGCGCCACACCAGAATTTCATGAAATCTAACATCACTTTGGAGTCCTGGTGTGGCACTGTAGGATAAGCACTGGTCTACTAACCACAGATCAGCAGTGCAAACACACCAGCTGCTACAAGGTCAGTGGTTCAAACCTACCAGCCACTCTTCAGAAATCCTATACAATGTTGTCATGAGTTGGAACCGAATCAGCAGCACCAATATATTCGTTTATAGAGTATGCTTTTAATGTGACAGCTAATGAGCCCTCCACCTCTGTTACTGCTCAGAGTTGTTTAGACCACTCTAGGTCCTTTGTTTTTCCATATTCATTCTAGAATCAGCTTGTCTATAAATGTCACTTAAACACGGGATTTTCACTGGGATGACATTGAATCCAATGGGGAGAACTGACATTCTTATGCCCTAGACCATTAACATGTTAAGTTGTTGTTGTTGTCAGCTGCCATCGAGTTGGAACCGACTCATAGCGACCCCATGCACAGCAGAACGAAACAATGTCCGATCCTGGGCCAACCTCACTACCGCTGCCACACTTGATTCCATCAATGATGCCACCTGGCCAATCCATCTCATTAGGGGTCTTCCTCTTTTTCTCTGACCCTCCACCTTACCCAACATGACATCCTTCTCCAGCGACTGTTTCCTCCGGACAATATGTCCAAAGTAGGAGAGACGAAGCTTAGCCATCCTGGCCTCCAAGGAGCACTCTGGCTGCACTTCTTCCTAAACGGATCTATTGGTTCTTTTGGCAGTCCATGGCACTTTCAGTATTCTCCTCCAACACCATAACTCAAAGGCATCAATTCTTCTACGATCTTCCTTATTCACTGTCCAGCTTTCGCATCCATATGAGGTTATTGAAAGAGTGACTAACTACTTCCGAATCGTTAGTCACTGAAAACTGTATGAATAGCAGAGAAACATGTTTTAGCTCCCATTTATTTTGCAGCACTATTTTATAGTTTTCAGTGTTTGCCATTTTTTATTTCTTTTGTCGAATTTGTCCCTAGGTATTTCCTGATATTTCATGCTATTATGAAGAGTATTTTTAAAATTATAACTACTGATTGTTTACTGCTACTGTGCAAAAATACAATTGATTTTTTAAAAGGATCTTGTAACCTGAGGAATTCACTGATTAGTTTACTTGCTCTTTTTGTACATGCCTTCAGCGTTTCTAAGCAGATGATCCTGTTGTCTGCAAAGAAGGCAGTTGTCCTTCTTCTTTTCCCACATGGACACCTTTTGCTTCTTTCTGGTGCCTGACAACACTAGCTAGAACCTTCAGCACAAAGCTGAGCGAAGACGTGAAAACAGATTTACCACTTTTCACTTGTGTACTTTTTAATTGATTTGTGTCATGACGTTTTTACAGAAAAAGAATCCACACTCTTTACTCCCCACTCCAACTTTGTAGCTGTTTGTTCTCTTTATTCTTCCAGAACTTGAGAATCAGTTTTTTATCAAGTTGCAAAAAGATTCTGCTATGATTTTAAATGGAATGGATTTAATCTTAAAAATTAATTTGGGAAAAAAATTAATTTGGGAAGAAATATCTTTCCATCTGGTAATATGGGCCAAGTTTTCTGTGCCTCAAGAGAAGACTAAGTGTTCTTCATACAGACTTGGAACTTCTTCAACAAAGTCCTGGACCTCTTATACCTTATGCTTATTCTGTGGCTATTGGGAATGAATTTCTTTTTTAAAAAATTATATTTTCTAGCTAGTTATGATTAGTGTTTAGGAAAACTAAGACTGTTCTACTCATCTAGCTAAAGAATCCAAAGTGTCCTTCAGCCCAGCACTGCACCCCCAGGTGACAGGCGCCTCTATTTGACAGCCGAGGAAACTGAAGCAATACATTCTGTATTCCAATCAGCACCAGTCTAAAAAACTGTCCCTTTCCCACTGATTCTCGTGAATTATGCAAATATACATGAATATAAAATGCTGTAAACTTCTCTCTTTACTTGCGAAAGTCGTATTTATTTCGGATTCATTTCTGTATGTACTGGACAGAATTTTCAGAACAATGACAAATAACAGATGACACCAACCACCCTGGTTTAATGGGACCACCTTTCAGAGGATGTCAAAGTTGTCTTTCAGGCTTTTAATTCAGTGACTGGACTTCTCATCTTTTTGTTCTTTTTATGTCTTTGTTGTTGTTCAGTGCTACTGAGTCAACTCTGACTCACAGTGACCCTGTATAGGATTTCCAAGGAGAGGCTGGTGGGTTCGAACTGCTGACCCTGTGGTTCTTTTAGGTCCCAGGTCCTCCTTATTCACTGTTTGCAGCAGTTGCACACATACGACTTCCTTCTGAATCCTGAACTCCAAACAAGCACCAGCCATCCCCTCCCCTCGTGGCCCCCCAGGATTTATCATTTACTTCAGACTACGGCATCGGTGTCAGCATCGGCATCGGCATCGGCATCGGCACCGGCACCGGCACTGCCATGGACTGCTCTTCAGAGCTGCCGTCTTCCTTTGAACTGAGATTCACTTTCCACAAATTCCAGTCTTTTTCTTTGTCTGCTTATCCTTCCAGCAGGTCTCTCTTGCTTAGTACTGGGTTAGCCTATAGGTTCCCACCTCGGCAGTGCTGACACAAGGAGACACTGTTCTTTGTGGTGCGGCTGTCCCACGCATGTAGATGACTAGTAGCATCCCTAGCCTCTACCCTCAGTGTGACGACCAAAACTACCTCCAGAGGTCGCCAAATGTCCGTGTGGAGGGCACAGCTGCCTCTGGTTAGAAGCCCCCGACTGAGACCACAGTACATAGTACGTGGCTGATGTCCCCTACTCTAAATGGCCCCGGATTCTGTGTTTGTGGGTCAGGGGTTCTGTTCAGGCTCTGCTTTCCTCTGCTAACACCCCTAAGAAGCCTGAGTATGAATTCTGTTAGGAGGTAGAAGACACAAGGTTTTAGTGAAAGATGATGCTCCAGACAGGACGGAGATGAAGGGCAGGATCTGGCCTGGGGGACTGGGGTGGGAGAAGTACTAGTCATGGGTGCAGGTCTCCTCCCAGGAAGAATGTGAGTGGAAAAGGATTTCAAGAAGTCCACCAAAAACACTTGAAAGAATCAAGGGAAAAAAATAAAATTAATATAAAAACCTCAATTTAAAAAGTCTGAAACTAAAACAAAGGCAAACAAACAAACAAAAAGAAATCAGAGGAAAGTTACAAATGTATGTGTAGTATTGTTGCTGTGTGCCTTTGAGTTGGTTCTGACCCATCGAGATCCTATATAGTGTTTCCAAGGATGGCTGGTGGGTTTGAACTGCCTAACTTGTGGTTAGCAGTCAAGCACTTGTCCTACAGCGCCACAAAAGGACTCCTTGCTATATGTTAATGCAGGAGAAAACTTGGGGTGTCTTCTCAGCAGGAACTGCCACCCAAATCGGGGTTTATTAAAAATCATCTCATAACTGGTTTTACTTCTGCTTCGAATCAACAATTTATAATAAAGCCAAATACATACCTTTTCTGCTTTTTTGTCAGAAACGTCCTGCTTTTCCAGAACAGCCATGCTCTCCTTCAGGTTCTTCACAATGTCCGCTGGGGATTTGTGGGACTTTCCAAACGGGAACGGCATGACGGTGAGCGACAGAGGCCTCCGCTGGGCTCGGCCTGCTTTCCCTGCAACACAGCACAGGGCCGGGTCAGCAGAGAGCCGAGGTCTTCTACCTCCCAACTGGGGCGCCTGAGAATGCCCCTTCTCCTGACTTGCAGCAGCAGAAACTGGGGACCCCACCCACCAATGCAAGAAATGACCACAGGGAGATGTAGAATGACAGGCCAGTTTCTTTTCCATCTGTTCCTCTAAGCACCCGTGTGAGGGAGACATGAGGAAGGTCACAGCAGCCACCACTAGAGGCTACGCACTTTCATTCATCACCTCCAGGAATCCTTTCCAGCACCTCTCTGAGGGGCATGATCCCTCCCATTGACAGGTGAGACTGAAAGAGGAAGTGGTTTAGGACTCCACTAGACCACCACCTCCCGTTTCACAGCTGAGGAAACCAAGCCAGGAAGTTGGGAGGGAGCCAGGCCTCTGAGCACCAGTGCTGGGCCCGTTCCCCAGTCTCTGCAGAGGCCGCTCTTGCTGTTCAAGCTACTCCTCCTCCCAAGCACCTGGTGGGTCGTACTGACTGGGCACATGCTTCCTAGGCGCACCCACCCTCCTCTCCTGTCAGCCACAGGGTCTAAGCTGGACAGAACCTCAAATGGAGCTTGGCCAAGTCTCTCAGCAGATACTAACTTCCTGAGGGGGCTCTTTCCTACTGAACGTGACTCACCATCATCTATGAAAAAGCTCAGTGGAAAACAACCATGATAGAAGTTCTATAACTTCTAGAAGTTCTTGATGTTTTGTGGGTAGCAGAAAACAGCGTTATCACCCACATAATCTGAATATTACAACATTCAGAATGGGGAGAGGCACCAATTCTCAGTAGCCACCATGGAAAAACAGACAATCGAAGTGACCTGGGAAGGTGTCCGAAATGACATCTTAATGACTCAGTAACTGAAGTCATATTCATGGGTATTAAACAGTCTTACAAAAGACACCAAAATGTAACACTTCTGAAAGGAACCGAAGGGAGCATGCAGGTAAGACGTTTTCAAACGGTGTTCCAACCTCCCAAGAGAGAAGTTCCCTGGCAACCCTGCCCCTCAGAGTAGGGAGAAATGGGAAGAGCATGCTAATGTTCTGCCTACAATGAAGTTAACATTAGGTTATGTTATTCCTCAACATGTTCTGAAGGGAACGGTTCTGACCAATCTCTAACCTCTAATTGTTAAGTGCCTTCTAGTCAGTTCCGACTCGTAGCGACCCTATATAGTGTTTTCCAAGGAGTGGCTGGTGAATTTGGAACAGCTGAGCTTTAAAAAGGGTTAAAATTTGGGAATAGTTTCAATGTGATGAGCAGGTAGGTAAGACAACATTGCAAAAAGGATAAGAAAAGTAATGTTTTCAGAAATAAAGTTTTAAAATCGCCAAGTGTTTTGTTACATGTATTTTACCACACTCAAAAAATAAAGCTCTTAATAAACTTGTTAAATAAATACACATAGAGCTAACTGAGTACTGTGTTACTGAATCCACAATGAATGTAACAAAGAAAACTAAAGCAGTTCTTGAGCAAACATTACAAATAATGTGGGGAAGTCATGGACCGGTTATTTGCATTTAAGGTTCACCGTAGTGCTGCAGGATAATGCACTGGATCACAAGGTCAGTTTGAGCCACAAGGTCGGTGGTTCAAACCTGCCAGCTGCTCCTCACAAACCCTATACAGGGTTGCTGTGAGACAGAACCGACTCAATGGCACTTAACAACAAACACAAAAGATGCTGAGGGGAGCGTAGAGGCTCTGTAGGGTAACGCCTGAACTGTGAACCACAGGGTCTGCGGTTCGTGACCATCAGCCACTCAGTAAGAGAAAGATGAAGCCAACTCGAAGGCACTTACCAACGACAACAAAGATATGAAGAAAGAGACGAAAAGAATCAGCTCCTTTGGGGAGCAGGAGAAGAGCGGTTACGTGCCATCAAGTGGACTGTCTCAACGACCCTATTCTGGGGTTCTGAGGCTGCAAATCTTTGCCGGAGCAGGGAGCCTCATCTTTCTCCTGCAGAGTGACTGGTGGGCTTGAACCTTGTGGTTCGAAGTCCAATGCTTCTCCTATGGAGCCACTACGCAAAAAGAGTAGGGAAGCAGTGTTTTCTCTGACAAGTCTTTTTTGGTAACACTGTGACTCCTTCAATGACACACATGCAACAACAGGCTGAAACACAGCAATGACTGTGAGGACAGCACAGGGCCAGGCAGTGGTTTCTTCCCTCTGCTGTTCACGGGGTCGCCATGAGTCAGAACCCACTGGATGGCACCGAACAACAGCGTTCTGCTGTCAACACTCTCCTACTACACGTGGCCTTTCTGTGGTCTATTTCAAGCGCAAGTCTTGCATTTTAGTGCTAATCCTAAAGGCAAGAAGTCTGTGCCGTGCCTTAAGGAGCAAACAGGCCTATTAGAAAGCTCCATGCTGTAGGCGGTGAGGTCAGTGCTGATGAATGGGGTAAAAAAAGAGGAGGAACTACATCAATTGACATGAGGCGACTCTAGCAAGTGCTAATGCAGTATCTAAAGTCCATAATGAAGCAATAGGAAAGATGACAAAGCAGTTAAATCTGAGGATTTTCCAGATGAAGACTGATTTTTTAAAAAGCCTAGTGGACAATAGTATGAGACTGAAAGCCAAAAAACTATACAGTCACATTACTCATAAAATGTTAAACTCTTCTCGACTGTTTTATTAGAAAGAAATACTGCGTGTAAGAAATATGTATTAATTACTATTGTTGTTAAGTGCTGTCGAGTCGGTTTTGGCCCACAGCGAACCTGTATAGAGTTCCCACGGAGTGGCTTTTAACTGCTGACTTTGTGGTTAGCAGTCCACTACTTATCCTACAGTGTGTTTCTGTTTAAAGACACCTACTTAATATGTGGAAGGAGCTCTGGTAGCGTAGTGGTTACGAATCGGGCTGCGAACCTTAAGGTGAGCGGTTCGAAACTACCAGCTGCTTCGCGGGAGAAAGATGAGGCTTTCTACTCCCGTAAAGATTTACACCCTCGGAAACCCTGTACAGGGTCGCTATGGGTTGGAACCGACTCGACGGCACTTAACAACAACAACAACTTAATATGTGGAGTCCACATATTAATAACACGTTGTTGTTATTATTATTAAGTGACGTCGAGTTGGTTCCAACTCGCAGTGACCCTGTATAGGGTTTCCAAAGAGCAACTGGTGAGTTTGAACTGCTGACCTTGTGTGGTTCAAAAGACCTTGAGGTCGAGTGCTTATCCTATGGCGCCACACCAGGACTCCAAGAAACACACATAAAACAAAGTTATGTGTTGACTGAATGACAAACATGTGTTCAAAGGCTCGTAGGAAGCTAACCCTAACTGTAATGGGACGGCTTGACATTCAGAGTCCTGGTGTGGCGCTGTAGGATACACACGGGACCGCAAGGTATGTGGTTTAAATTCACCAGCTGCTCCTTCCTCAGGAATTCTATACAGGATCACTATGAGTCAGAACCGACTTGAGTGCACCTAGCAACAACAATTCAGTGTTTGCAACAACTTTGGAACATGTAACTATTAGAACATGTAACTATTAGAGCATGTAACTATTGAAATACTGAGAATTAATTGTACTTTTAAGTCTGGGTACCATATTTGCAAATATAGCAAAAATCGTCATTTAGCAATTGAGATGGTAGGTGTGTAGGCGGTCACTGTTACTCACTTTTTCTGTAGATTCAAACTGTTCTTAATATTGTTTCTATGTTTGGAAATTAATTTCAATTCATAAAGGAAATGAACAGAAATAATTTACAGTACTGAGAAACTTATAAATACAACTAGTTTTCCCATTTCATCAAACAATTGGCTCATAACAAACCTTGACAGAGTTGCTTGTTGTTAAGTGCCATTGAGTTGGTTCTGACCCACAGCGACCCTACTCACTTTGCAGTCTGGCACATTCATCCACAGAGCCACACCAGGACTTCAGGGTTGCCTGGACTTAGCTAAAAGGTATTATCGAATGCAACTGGGACAAAGCAATTCACCTGTTACAGATTCTAGGCTTGCTGCTGAAGGTAATCACAGGTGTACGCTTGAATCCCAAGGACAAACAAGCCCGAGGGGGAAAGTTTAGCATAAAAATGGGGGGGTCCAGGGGGGTGGGGAGGTGTAATTTCACATATCACTTCTGTATTAGAAATATTTATGAAGTTGCACACTAAATCTACATGAAGAGCATGATCATTTAGCACTGCGCAGCCTTAAGGTTTCAGGTATGGCTCTGCCCTAGCTGTTTTCCTAATTCCCTCTCCTTCTGAGTTTAATTCAATGACTCATCTTCCGCCAAAGGCGATGTCCTTCAGAGTTCTCCCCTTGCTGTCTCCTTACACTCTATTCTGTCTGGGTGATCTCATCTACCCATGGTTTCAACCACCTCATAATTCTGAAAGCCATCTCCCAACCCAATCTGCTTCTCCCAATAGATGCCATTCCAGCAGTTCAAACCTCACCCCAAAGTAAATCGTAAATCTTTTCTGTGTTCCCCTTTGAGTTAAATGGATCCACTGCCCACCCAATCACAAAACGTGGTTATCAGACCATGTTGTTGTTGTTGTTAAGTGCCGTCAAGTTGGTTCCGACTCATAGCGACCCTGTACAGGGTTTCCGAGAGTGTAAATCTTTACAGGAGTAGAAAGCCTCATCTTTCTCCCGCAGAGCGGCTGGTAGTTTAGAACCGCCGACCTTAAGGTTTGCAGCCCGATTCGTAACCACTACGATGTAGAATCAGTTCTCAGTTTCACTCAATTCTATTTTCTAAATTTCTCTATCCTTTCCGACGCCAACTGTAGACCCTTAATCATTGTCTATCGAGGCAAGTGGTTGTCCAAACCCCAAACCAAACCCACTGCCGTTGACTTGACTCTGACTCACAGTCAAAATCTGACCCTGCAGGACAGAGAAGGCCCGCCTCAGAGGGTTCCCAAGCCTGCCATCTTTGTGGAAGAGCTCATCTTTCTCTCGCGGA